CGCCCAGCGCGGACAGGTCGCTGCTGTCGAACACCTGGACCCTAATCTGCACCTCTGGGGGGGGAGAGACAGAAAAGATACGGTTAAAGGGTGGAAAGCAGATGGAAAACGAGAAAAAACAGTAAAAAGAGCCCAAAATTTACTAGTGAAACCTTCCAAAACACCTAAAGACAGACAAAAAAAAGCAAAAAGAGCACCAAAATGATCAGTGAAACCTTCATAAACACCTAAAAATCAACAAAAAAAGCAAAAACAGAACCAAAGTGATCAGAGAAACCTTCATAAACACCTAAAAATCAACAAAAAAAGCAAAAAAAGAACCAAAGTGATCCGTGAAACCTTAAAAAACACCTTAAAAAACAGCAAAAAGAGCCTCAAACGGATCAGTGAAACCTTCAAAAACACCTAAAAACCCCAAAAAACAGCTAAAACGGCCCCAAATCTGTCAGTAAGACCTTCAAAAACACTTAAAAATCAACAATAATAGCAAATAAGAGCCCCAAATTGATCAGTGAAACCTTCAAAAACACCATCAACAAAACCATCAAAAACAGCCCCAAAGTGATCAGTGAGGCCTTCAAAAACACCTAAAGACCGACAAAACCAGCTAAAACAGCCTCAAATTGATCAGTGAAACCTTAAAACACCTAAAAAAACTAAAAAACCAGCACAAAGAGCTCCAAATTGATCAGTGAAATGTTCAAAAACACCTAAAAAACAACAAAAAGAGCAAAAACAGACCCAAATCTATCAGTGAAACCTTCAAAAAACACCTAAAAAACACTAAAAAGAGCAAAAACAAACCCAAATTGATTAGTGAAACCTTCCAAAAACACCCAAATACCAACAAAAAAAGCAAAAATAGCCCCAAAGTGATCAGTGAAACCTTCAAAAACACCTAAGAAAACAACTAAACCAGCCCAAAAAACATCCAAAGCAAAATAATATTTGACTTAATACAAATAATATATTAAAACGAAAAAAATAACTTAGAGCTCAATTGAACTTAGCTTCAAAATAGCTTAGCTTCACCCCCCCCCCCCCTCAGTCTTTGGAATAATTGTGTCTTCCAGGGCTTCCACCTCCAGCTGGATCATAATTGGGGCCTTAATGGAGGTTTAGTAGGAGCTAGGGATGTCCCCATCCAGCTTTTTTCACTCCCTATCCGATC